GGTCTTCGGCGGCTACTGTACTTTATACACCATAACATGTCTTCTTTTTACTACGATGTTTTTTTTACTGCCGTAAGACCCTGGAGGACACAGGATGGGTTGCTTTTGCTGCTTTTGGGTTTCATCTGATGGGGCAGCTACTGTAACTACCTCCTGAAATCGAGAAATCTTATGTTACGTTGATGGTAATCAGTTGAAGGCAGATACGAGGGATGCCAGTTTTTTAAAACCAAGGAACAAAGTCAACTTTGAAGTTATCTTTTGCGAATTTATGACTTTTTCGCTACAAAACGCAGTAATAAAACTTGTTTTCTAGCATTTTGTTTTACCACATCGGGAACTTGGACCGTGAGAACCTGCAACATGCTGTCATTTTTGTGTGTCACGCTGTTATTGTCAACGCCCTTCCTTTTTAAACGTTGATTTTGAGCGCGTGCGGAAATTGGTAGCAGAAGGGCTGCAAGTGTGAATCGGTCAGCTCATACGTTCAGTGTTAACCAGGCCACATTCTAGAGAATTATTAACCACAAAAATGTGCCTAGGCCAGGCAGACCAACATGCTCCACAAGCAAGCAAGCCAGATGACGGTTTTATTCGTCGTACACTAAAATAATTACCGCTATGCGCCCCTTAGGAATATTCCCAGGGAATATTTGGCAGAGGAAAAACGACGAAGAAATTCGGCATTCACCAGGAAAAAAAGACTTGACAAAGTCATTTTTAAGTAGGAAGCAGATTAGAGAATGATTTTTACTTGCTCAGGAGTATACTGGTTGCAGACTTTCATTCGAAAAAGAGTTTACTTCTCTGATATGGTATTATTTTGTGATGAGTTCGCAACTTCGGTCTAGGTGGTCAAATGTGGACAGAACTTCCCCTGGGACCGCACCGCATCGACAGCAAATTTTAAGAACTGTCGACACCCGATGGCTTGGTCGGCCATCAAATTTGCAGAGAGCGACTGATCTGGCGATCGACAGCTTAGCCCATTACTAGCAAGGTACTCATCTATCTCGTAAAGAATGACGTCGGTTATAACGATATTTGCCGAGTTTGAATGAAGCTCGTAATGCCACAGAATAATTTTCCTGTTCATCGCTCTAAAGGAATGAAATTCTGATTTAACTTACAGCAACAATCTAATTTTGCAGACCACAACAAACTTTACTGCCTGCGGGCAGCAGAGCAATTCCATTCCGGTTAATAGTGCGGACCTCGATTCCATGGAAAATCTGTTGCCATTAATCAAAATAAATTGGGACAAGCCCAGAAAAGTCTGTTCAATGCAGGAAAGGTGCAATTTGTGCTCAAAAATTTAACAGCCCAATCCAACACAGATATTTGGGTTATTTTTTGTGTCGGTCCGAATAAAAAGATTTTTTGAACGCAGAAAAAGCAATTAACAAAGTACTAGTAGGTTGCATTTGTTAATATTTTAAATGATCTTTTTTTATTGTATTATAATTTCCTTCCCTGCTGTCAGCCGTAGTAAGCCTTAAATAATTTACCTATCAATAACGCAAGAGAGTTAAAACGCTATGGGCAGCAAAAAAAAACGGGAAAGACGTCTAAGGTAAAAACTGGGAGGGGAAATGTGTAAACAGAGAGCCAATGTTACCACGGCAGAGTTAGGTTCACTTCATGCTCTACCTGTTTACATAGGTCGGGTTTGAACCACCGCCAGAGCTAAGAAGCATTTACTTAGCCAGTTATTGAAACAAGAAAACAGAATTCCCCGTTCATCTGCTAGACACGGGCCATTCTGTTGACCCAAAAACTTCTTTCCGAGTACTTGTTCGGGCACGAACAATTCACACCTTACGCTACCTGGAGGCAGCCTACACACGGCGGTTCAAACCCGACCTATGTAAATAGTTGGAGCATGTAGTGAACCTAACTCTGCCGTGTTAACATTGGCTCTCTGTTTACACATTTCCCCTCCCAACTTTTTATCTTAGACGTCTTTCCCCGTTTTTTGCTGCCCATAGCGTTTGAATTTTCTTACGTTAATTTACCTATCGTAAAGTCGTTCTTGAGTTGGTGATTTTTTTACAAAATAAATTATACCTTAGATAACAAGTAACACTTTATAAGAACCTAACTTTTTGGAAAACGATCTTTTCCTGATCACTGCCTAACTTTAACGGAGGCAGCGTGGGCGGCCTTGGATGCCATTTGGGTCTGGGTATGACTGGCTGACGACGGCTTATAAGCCAGAAATGGTCATTCTAGTCTCCCTTGTCTTTGCCGATACTACTATCTGCCAGCGTGCTTTGTTGTGTGGTGTGACTGTCTGCGGACTGAGAGCCAGGTTGCAATGTCTCCTTCTTAATGCGGCCTTTATGACGCTCCCAGTCAGGAGCGTATCTAGCCAGACGTGCTGTTTCGTACGCCTGTTGAGTGTTTGCCGCGCCAGCCGTTTGCGGCCTCCCTCAGCTGCGGCCTTCTTGACTCTGTCTTGAAAACCGGGTCCTGGTGTGGGAGTGGCCCGGGAGTGAAGTAGATTCACCGCGAGTCTACCTTCTCTTTTCACCTCGCGGAAGTCGCCGCCTTGCTTCAACTCGTTAACGCCGTGGTGCGTATCGTCGAACTCGACGGTCGAACTGTCAGGTAGGAATGAGTAAGCATTATGTGAACGCTGGTCAGCGTCAGCGTAGTCGGTTGATTGAATGATTGACGAATTTGTGGATGTCTGTGATTGGCTGTCCCTGAGACCGCATGTGAGCATATTACGGCTGCCCGGGAACCACGAACACATGATTCCTCGCGTGGCCTAGGTACCACAAGGTGTATATACACTTTAGGCGCTGCAACGCGTCTCTCCCCCAGGCCGCGAACAAAGGGAATAATCAAAATTGGGACCCTGGACTGCTAGTCGGCGGCACAATATGCAGTCGAATACCGACCATATATTTTAAGACTGAAGCTAGCACCACCAAAATAGTGTTTGTACCACCTTTGCATGCACAACAAGCTTCAGGCACTGGAAGCCTCATCAATCGGGTGACGAGTGACGGACGAGTGCATCGACGAGTGCCGTGTAATCCTTCAGCACAGTGAATGGTTGAAACTGCACATAGACAGTTCCATGTTTCGGTAAAAAAAGGCTTACGCACCTGCAAAAGGTAGACCTCCTGATTGCGTTCGATGAGCAGGATAGCCCGCTCATTTCTAATGCGAGCGTTCCGCTCGCAGGCCTTCTTCATGGCAATGATGCTAGACTCCGCCTGGTTGAACATCAGATTCAGGCGAGCTATGGCCTGACGCATCTGCTCCCGTTTGGCATCCTGCATGGCTGTCACCGCGGCCATTTTGCAGTACTCGTGGCGTTTGTGATCCCGCTGGCAAATCAAGTTCATAATGGCCTTGCGCATGTTCAGCAGATCGTTCTCCCGCTTTTGGGCCAGAGTCAGCAGGATTTCTGACTCATTGGCCTGTTGACGCAATCGCTCTCGGGTGTCGGTGGAGACCCGGATGGCTACTTGCAACAGACTGACACATTTGTTGCGCTCCATCTTAACTTCAGTATAGCGCCTTGAGACCTCGTTCATTTGCGCCTAGTGAGAAATGTTTAAACAATAAAACCAATTAGTTCAGAAGAAGGAGATGGCCCCCAGTCCATCAATAAGCGCAACGATTTAGCGTTCCCATATTGCGTACTGAGACATAATCTGAGCAAGAGAACCGGCCACGTGGGAAGGGCCGGGTCTGGCAACAACAACTCGGACGACAACGAGCGTAACTGTCGCGAAATTACCAAGCCCGCATCCAACACAGACGAAGAAAGCACGGCAATTAATGAGTCGAACGCGAAGTGCCAAGCCAGTATCGCACCAAGTAAGACCCATGCCGTGGCACCAAAAGTGAATAATTATCGTACGCACGCAAATGACCACTATAAACTATGAATACTGTGCAACCTGTGCATGTTTCAACCATATCTGCGCGTGACTATGATACCATTACCTATGATTAAGGATTCCCAACGGGATCAGAAACGCCAGGAGAATAAAACTCCTGTTCCAGTGGTCACATCTCCTTCTTCTGTACTGCTTCCTGGAACTAGAATATTCACCTCTATTGGCAAGCCAATTAGTGATACTATACACCCTGATAACACCAGGAATAACACAGGAAAGTTGGCAACCATGCCAAGCATTGTGGTTCCCACTGCTTTTGGAAGAAGCCATGTGCATAGAGGGTTAATAGAATAAATCTCACGTACGCCATCAAAGCCAGTACAATGACATCAGTATTAAGTGCTAAGATGAAAAAAAGTTTGGATCGATTGTCCCAGAAGAGTTTTGAATTGATAAAATTTAATAGAGCAATATGTTTTGGCATGCCCTATACAAGTTCATTACCAACGCATTGTGCTGAGTAGTTATTGCAATCGCTTTTAATATGATCATTGGCAAGAACCCAGCTGAAATATCATCCTAGTTGAAATTTCAGCATGAACTTTGTTTATATTTCCAGCTACGGCGAACATAGGCGAAACAAAGGAGGGCCCAACGAAATTCTCAATTGTGTTTTAAATGAGAAAGGATTTAAAAGGGGGATTTGCAAAACAGCTTATCCGGTAGCAAAATCTCAACATATTTCAGCTACTACAAGACGTCGACCTTTGCATAATTTTCTTTCTTGCCTCATACGAAAAACTAAACTTAATAAAGTAATGAGCATTAAAATAGTTGGAATTTTCGCTCATACATTTTTGATGCTCACATTTTTTTTATAGAAAACATGCAAAAACATTCGTTTTTTACATTTATCTGACAAAACGACGTCTTCTTCAAATTTTATATTTGCCGACCGGCAAAAGTAGCTCATGTAGTTCCCCTCATATACTCATATTCCCAGCATTTGTCCTACGAAAACGGATTTTATAGAGTTTTTGGAGTGGGGAAATAGGATAGGCAGACAAGGAAATTTTTAGAAGTAGGTTTAAAGTCAAAAAATGTAGTCGAAGTTGTTTCCCGCGGCCACTACGAGTAAGTTGTCTTACATGTAAATTGTAGGTGGGCGCGGCGCTTAGCGCCGCGGACTATACTAATCTAACTCCAGAACGGTAAGTTAGACCTCAAGTAAATTGAAGTAGACGACCTCCTTACCACCATTTATATTTTTTGGGAATTTCAAGAAACCTATAATTTAATAATCGGGTTTTTTCGCAATAGGTTAAACGATCATTCAGATTAGGAAAATCTACAGATATACATCAACACACTTCTAAATACAATAAATAAGAAATGCATATAGCAGTTATGAAAGTATATTCCACTGCGTATCTTAATTCCCCACTCATAAAACCCTATAACCACTGTTTTTGCAAGACAAAATACTGGGAGTAGGGATTGATGAGGGTAACTACATGAGCTACTGTTGCATGGCGACCTACGGTAAGTGGTGGACAACTGAAAATAGGTCTTCGAAG